AGCCATAAATGCTTCGCGCGGTATTTCATTTTCCGCGCGCCAACTTTACGAACAGAGCGGCTCGGGTTTCCGCTCGCGCGAGAAAAACCATTCCGCCCATCGCGGAGGAAGAACTCTGCAGGATGAAATTATTTGCGCGACGGTCGTTATTATTTTTCAGCGACGCGTAAAAATTTTACGAGCCTGGCGTTATGCGAAACGCGCGTTTCCCTCAAAGTTTTCCTTTTCTCTCTTTTTCTTTTTTCTTCTAAAATAAATATACTCTCTCCCTCTCTCTCTCTCTCTCTCTCTCTCTCTCTCTCTGTCTTTCTTTTATATCTCACATATAGACTACGAGAAACACTGGTAGTCCCCGAGTTAACTCGCCGCGACTTCCGAACTACAAAACTTAGGACCCCAACGAATGTCTGCAGTTCGCCGAAAGAATATCAGGGATCGTACTGCCGAAGTTGCAACTTTTATTAGCTCAGAGAGAGTCGAGAATCTTGATTTAACCGATTTTGCAAATTTTCACTGTTTGCTCAATACACGGTACACAATTGCGTAGATTAAGCATTTTTCTTGTAAATAAAAATATTGTGTTTTATTTTTTATAATATAAAATATATGAACATTTCGATAAATGGATAATTGATTATTGGCTCGATAAAAGAATATTTTATGGATAAATCGTACAATGGGCAGTCTCTTATAAAAAAAAGGATGAATAATTAATCGTTACTTGTTATTATATTGCGTGATATACAATAATAAATAAATATGTAACTATTTAATATTTTACAATGATTTAAAAACATAAAATCAGTTATTTATTTATTAAATTAAGGTTTATTTTAAATTTATTGATTTAAGTATAAATTTTTCGTTTAATAGAATCTCTATTTCTTTTCTATAAACGCTATTTTTATTTCGTGTGTTTTCCGTTTCAATCCATTAAAATATATTAGATGTAATAATAAATTGCTACGATTGCAATTAATATGAAGTATTTTTTATATTTTCGTTCGTGAATCGCTAAATGGATCTGAGATGAACGTGTTCTTTCGTGGCACGACCGCTACTTAATTACGCGGAGTGCCTGGCAGGAAGAACTTCCCACATATCACTAGGCCAGTGCTACATTTCGCGAAAACCTCGAACCGAGCCAGCCGCCTGGCTGCAGGAAAATCAATAACATCTTTAATCCGTCCCGGTGAAATAAGCTCGCACGGAGTTCATTACCGCGCGGTTACTTCAACCAGTTCAAGAGTCCAGTCCATTTGGTGCGACTCGTACGCATTTTTCACTATTCGGCATTCTAAGCGCAAGCAGTTTCATTATTCTTCGCTGTTAATCGATAAACATTTATCGAAGAAATAGCGCAGGGATGTCGGATTTAAACAATTTTATTTATAATTTAAATTGTAATAAGGCTCAATGAATTTAAAACTAATAAGAGAATCTATGGCTCGTAGCCCTGTTCTCTTATTAGTTTTTTATTTATAATATTCAATTGAAGACCGTTTAATGTAACAACATAACTAATACGAATACAAAGTCTGTAACAGTCTAGCTTGGATCTTAGTTGCTTATAGATATATAATTTCGCGTGAATTTATATACTAATATGTGTAGTCTTTCTAAACTGCGCGCTGAATGATTGTCGATTCTGAAACGCAACTCTAATAAACTACCGCAGTACTATCACGAATTAAATTGATTAACAACTTAATAATTAATTGATGCTCTTTTGGCATCTTATATCGATCATGTTAAACTATATTAAAATCTGAAACTAATAATTCTTATTGCGAAAAAAACTTTATTTATGAATTAGTTATGGTATAACTATAATTACACTAATTCGTGCAAAGGCCGTTCTTTGACTGCAGAATTATGAATAGCTCTTCGTTAATGACAAGTCGGCTCTATATCGAGGAAGACCTTAAATCTCGCGTCTCGCGTCTCGCCGAGAGCGTATAAGGCTTACGCAAGTCTCGTCGAGAAATAGGATTCGCTTCGAAAATCCAAGCGACGGGCTCGAGACTCGCCTGTTTTACGGCACGTAAATCAATTCGCAAACGCGCGTCACGCGGATCCCCGGTGTCGTAACGCGCATATGTGAAAATAAAATTACGATTTGTGTTAACAATGCGTGTGTTAACACAGCGTGTCGCGACAACGCGCGGCCGCGTTGCCGTGCTCGCGGTATTGTTGTCATCTATCGTGATCGTCCGCGTTATCCACCGGCCGGCGGGGATGACAGCCGTTCGATCAAACGGAACTTAAATCAAAGGAGGACGGGCTCAAACGGTATCCTGCAAACGAAACTTAAATCTGTTTGACGAGAAACCGACTATCCCCTTTAAGCACGAGGATGTCATGCGCCATCAATACGTATCAATTTATGTGTTTTTCTGCAAAAGATCGTTCGCGTCTATAAGTTTATGCTCTCTTTCTCTCTCTCTTTAAACATAAAACTTAAGCTTTAAGCCTTGAGAAATTGACCATTGACCAATCACAGTCCTCACATTCGACTGTGATGGATCAATTTTCTACGACTGGTTCAAGGCTTAAGTTTTACATCTTAAAATCTCATTGTAGATACTATTTTATTTGTCGTTCCCTTTAACCCTTTGAGTGTTGTGCTTTTTTGATGCTCGATTACATCTCCGTTTTTTCAATAAAATGATAATAAAAAATGATAATAATTATAAATTATACGATAATACAAATAATTATACAAGTAATAGATTTAAGTAAGACTAAGGGAATATAATCTATAGAAGTAGATACACAGCGCAGAAATAAAAATACAACTATATAATAGTGCTTCACTCTGGATTTTAAAACAAAAATATACTTTTGTAAAATCACAATAAGTGTTTTAAAAGAAAAGAAAAAAAAGAGTTTTTCTAGTTCCTTCTTTAAGTTTTCGAATTTCTTTGCTGAACCGAGACAAATTCTCTTTATACATTTTGTAATTAATGCACACCGCGCTTGTTGGAACAATATGCAGACCGTAACGTACACGTGCACCGTTGTAGAGCGCCGTCGCGGTCCTCACAATTGGGACACCTCGCAGCGCGCGCGAGCTGCATTGCGGGTCGTTCGCGGCGTTTTCCCTGCAAAAATGCAACATCGCGACCCGCAAATCTTCCTGCTGACAAACAAGTTTATCACCATTGAAAAAAAAAAAAAAAAAAAATCGATTCTCTGAAGCACCGTTTCGCTTTTACCCAAAAGCTTCACGGTAAATTCGAACGATATCACAAATCCCGTATTTACACGTCACTTTTAACGGTAATTCACTTGTGGCATCATTTTACGTTAAGTCGATACGAAGAGCGCAATATTTTGAATCAAAGATTGGACAACTATTGAACGTTGAAAAATGAATTTATCACGATAAATTTGGAAGTATTAATTAAATCATAATAAACCCCAAGTATGCATCTTAAATTACAAATTTCACTAAATCTAATTAGTACTTAATTTAGCACAAATTTACTCTGATCTAATAAATCAGTTTCGTTGAACGTTAAATGGTTGGGTAGTTTGTAATTTAAGATATAATTAGATTTAATTTAATTGTATTTGTTATGAAAGAATATTTATTTCAATATGAATTTTCGTTTATGGCAACGATAAGACAAACCGTAAATTCGATCGATTTTAGTAATCGATTTTGATAATACTTCAATTTCAGTGAAGATAGATTAAGTTTTTACGTGTCTATACATATGTCGGATGTAAAAGTTTTCTAATAACTTAACGTGATAAAAGTTACGCTTCTTAGATATCTGTTGATAGTAACAAGAACTTTAGCTGTAAGACACAATAATTGATATGTGTCTAACTGTCCAATAGCGTTTTACGTGGAAACTCCACGATTGACATGACAGGCGTAATCGCATTCTAGCGAGATTCCATCGTGAAAAGGAAAAGATCTTTACGAAGAGACGGAGAAACGAAACGAGTGCTTCGCGCGTCAATGACTTTGCCATTTAACATCATTAAGATAAGAAAGCACGAAGAGCAACGACATAGTGAATCATGAGACAAGTAGTATTTTAGTCGAGATTTCTGCTTACGCAGAAACTAGTCTGCATTTTATTCTTGAATGTATATAATGTGTATAGCCATGATCTATAAACATTCTGAAACAACATACGAGCGTTATTAAATAACAACGTGACACACTTCATTTGGACGTGAAAAAGGAATCACATGCAACGCGACAGTAAACTCTCATTGCGATGCAAACAAAAGCGAACGGAAGGCAACGCAAATTTTACTCCATCTTGGAAACATATATTGTTCGCTCGCGTTACACTTTTCACACAAGCACACGGAAAATTAATAATGACTTTGTAAAGCGCGAAGCTCGTATAAATTAAAAGGAACTCCATTACAGAACTACTCCGTTTACTGAACTGTTTACAGCTACCAAATCTTGCTTCTGGCTCTATGCCATTTTCTTAATGAAATTATGACCTTTTTAAAATTAATGTTTCAACATTTCTAGACGGTAACGTCTCCAAAATATCGTGAATTCTTTTAAGCTAACGAGATGTTGTCTTAAAATTATCTTATAAATTACGGAGATTTCATTGAAGATAATGTCATTTCGTAAAAGACAATATTCTCCTATTCTTTTCAAAGATGATATTCAAATATCCTTCGGCCATAATGCTCGAGATGTATCCGGACGTAACGTACCGGAATCTGCCTGTAGGCAACAGCCGTAACGTTGGGAAAAGTTCGCAAGATCTGTTTGGAAGTAATGACCAGAATTTCTTTAGGGTTAAAAAACTCAAAGTTTCTTCAGTTTCAAATGGCTGATGAAGCCATATTGCCTTGCGAAGTTCTAACATGCTATTTGAGAGTTTTCGATGATGAGACACGCAAAATGTTTTTTTCTTCGCGGGGATGACGGATCGTCGCCTCCGGCGAGGTGACATCCGAAATCTCGCAGGTCCTGACTAAAGTGGATGTTGCGACTCTCGCGTGGTACTCACCCAGAACATGACGTTAAATCCAAAGATCACGTATTTGAGGCAGCAGCTCACCTCGCTGGTATCCCTTCGGTACTTCCGCACGGCGGGCATGACTGAGAGACATTTATCTACCGGTCGTGTGAACCCCACGCATACGTGCCACACAGACACAACACACCGAGCGGATGTACACGCGTGCGACGAACGGTGGCGAACGGGGGGTGGGGGAGGGGGGTTAGCGGGGAGAGCGCCGGGGCTGGGGGGGGGGAGGGCAAACTCTCCTTCGCGGCCCTTTTTTCTCCTCCGTCGGTGCCTTTTTAAGAATCGCCCACGCGCTCTTTCTCTCGCTCTCGACCTCTTTTTCTCTCAGACTCGGTTGATCAGCTGATCACAGTATCGCACCGTACCGCAATTACGACTACCGCCATTGTCACGTCACGGCGTGTACTGCTCGCAGCCGGATCAACGAGACTGCCAGCAAGTCGTGATCACCGCCTGCCCCCGCGCTGCACATTGCGCGCTCCGCCACCCCCATGCGCCATCCCCCTCCCTTCAGACATCTGCTTCTCCTCCGTCGCTTGGACACCTCGCGCTCCCACCTTTGGACAATCTCGTCGGTCCCTCTCTCTCTTTCTTTCTCGCTATCGCGATTCTCCTCCGTGCGATTGACCCCCACTCGGTTTACCACCCTCTCCCTACCCAGCAGTTGCCCCTCTCTATCCATCACTCCCTCCCAGGGCCGGCCCTAGATGTTTATGGAAAAAGCACGTGTTTGACTTTGTTACAAAGTCTACTTTGGTTTGCAAATATGGTAAGTACATACAAATGGTATTAAAAGGTATTTAAAAATGAAATTTATTTCATTTGTATTCATTCGTTATTTTGTCAACGTGAGAAATGAGTTTACAACTTGAAATTTATAAATTAAAAATAGAAATATAATAATGATTGTGGAAGCAATTTATTTTTACTGAAGGACATTCGCAATAATTTATGTTGGATAATAAGTACATAATATTTTGTCGATGAAAATTTTTTTGCACTATATAATCGTAAATATCATAGCAATTAAGATTTAAAAAACGATTTTAAAGCTGTCAAACAAATTGGAGTATCAAAATATGCAAAAAATCTGTGATAAAAATATCTATTTTCGATATAGGGAGAAGAAGAGAGCCGGTCCTGTTGTCTCCCTTATATTCCGTCTCATTTCCTCTATTTCTCTCGTCCTTTCCTGTCACTCGGTGGCCTTCTGCTCCCTCCTCTCCTCACTTTTCCCTCACCCGACTACATCCTTCGTTGTTTTTCTGTTTCCTTTCTCGTACCATTTCTTTGCTCTTCTTCTCCCTCACGCATCTCTTCCGCTCTCTTTATCGTTTGACGTCCTTTCTCCCATTTTTAAGGTCTCCATTAATGGCCTTTTGCGCGTTTACACAGTGCGCTTTTTCACGATTTTAAACTATTTCGTATCTCTTGCGCCATTTTTACAATCTCCAAATATATAAACAATTTACAATCCGATTGAGACCAGACAACACGAAAATCTTCGTACTATATACAACAATTTTTGTACGTATTTCTGTTCTTTATTAATTTATTACGAATTTGTATGTTTTTTAATATATATATATATTTTGTTTCTCTTTTTCCGCTCTAGATATTTTATGTGAAGTAATCTTACATATTATTTACTTTTAAGATTTTCTTTATGCCTAACAATAAATATAATATTGTAAGTTCTCTCTCGTGATATATCTTTTTATGTTCTCGTACGCAATAGCGTGACAGCTCGTCTTTAGGACATTACGTGAGCAATTTTATCAGAGTGATCGCCTCGTGTTAATGATGATGAATTAACTTATATCGTTCTATCTTACTTAAGTCAACGCGAAACAACTACAGTTATTAAAGCTAACAATATCTATTTGCAGCATTCAACGATCGCAGTCGTTAAAAATCGTTCTCTTCTTACACTGAAATATGATACATACATATTTTTAGAAAAGGTATTTTTCATTCACGAATTATCGAAGCTATTTTAACGCAGTAGAATCAAATAAAGATAGATAATCTAATTACCAAAAGAAAAAAAAAAAGAAAAATGAATTACATATCGTGTCAATCGTATTAATCTCGTAATGTATATTAATTATATAAACTTTATTTATATATACTTCATATATATGTGTATATTACATATTACATCAATTATTATGTATAAACTCTTATCTCCCTTCTCTTTTTACTTTAAAGAATTGAGAATTAAATAGTAATTGATTTTTTCATAACTAATTAAAATGCATTTCACGAATTTATATGCTAATAATTTTTGCAAAATTCTTACGTACTCGTATATGTATCACTTCTTGGATGGAGAAATATCAATAACGAATATTGTTATCTTAAGGTCATCTTAGAATTGTATGTGTGTACCTTCTCCCATTTCTCCATTCTCAGCGCAATATTTCATGTCCACGACACACGTTCCACTCAACTTTAGTCTCCTATCCTCATCGCTCTTCGTATAAGATCACAATATCCTGCCTTTCTCTCTTTCTAACCATGCAATGCCGCCTAAAATCGTCCTCTTCTCTTCCACTCCTCTCTCTTCATCCTCCCCTCATCTTCTGACACGCGTGCAACTACCTGCTGTTCCTGATACGCACATGCGCCCGTTGAAGCTTCTGAAAGGGAGACTATAGACTCCGATAAACCTTTTCTTTTCAAATGTAGAGAGAGAAAGAGAGAGTGTTTGTATAAATAAAATCTCAACATTTCTTAAAACTGGTATATGTAATTATCGTCACACGCCATATTCATGCATAGAGACGTTAAATGATTATCATAAACATTATGCAATTAACAGTAAGCTTTAAATAATTAATTTATACGTGTGTATGTGATTATTATATATAAAAATACATATTTAATATTTATCGAAACCGTCAACTTTTTTTCGTCATTGCGACAAATTTTTATATTTACGAAGAATATGATTTTGATAAGTTTATTATTATATTCTCCAAGAAATTTAATCTTTTACTATATTTTTAATATATTATATTAATAATCTTTCATATTATATTTTTAAATACGTCCCTGCTCGAGGAATCATCCTGACAATCGCAGCCATGCAGTTTCCCATCCTGTCTGTTCTCCAGCCGACTCGGTGTTTCGCCGCAGCATTATTTCGGGAGGCGAATAGGGGTAGGGGGGGGGGGGGGAACGAGCGAGGGATGGGATTCTTTGTTACTTTGTGAAATCGCCTAAGCCATTAAGAGGGAAAAACGTCGAGGAAGTACTTGTTCCTCACGGAGAATGAAACCAAAAGCCAATCGCCGATTTATCTCCCTCGTTCTAGATTTCGTCTTAAGAATATAACTTATCCGCATTGCCGCGTGCCTGCAGTAGTTGTAACTTGTATACTGATTATTTGTAAGGACTGATAGACGAGTTGTAGTAGTTAATTTATCCTGCTTCCTTCCGGATTATAGTTTTCCTCAATGCAAGCGAAAGAGAGAAAATAATAAATAAAGCTGAAATCTCCTGAATGCTAAGAAATTTTAGAATCGTAAAGAGAAAAGTATTAAATGAAATTTAATTTAAATCCAGAATTATTATTTTAATATTTGTGCGATCTATTATTTGTGTTAGTAATGTATCGAACGTAAAACTGTCAGAAACAGCTGTTTTAAAATGTCAAGTTGATTTCTAGATTCTAGAATATAAAAGCCAACTGTGATGCATGAGTATCTAGATACATGTATGTGTACCAAAGAGAATGGTCACGCTCGCGTTTTTGGAGATCTCTGAACATACTCAATTGACTAAATACATATCTATAATAAAATCTATAAATAAACCTATGAGTAAAATCTAAAAAAATAATTTAAGTATACATAGAAGCTAATATACATAAATATAATACATTAGATTTTTTTTATTGTACAATAATTAAATTTTACAATAATTTCTAATATTTATATTATAATCAATTCTGCGCAGCACAATAATTTTTAACACGATATATATCGTGACTGTATTTTATATAATTTAATTGTTAATTCATTTAACTGCATTTTATAGTAAAATATATATCTAGTGATTTTTTTAAAATTTTTATTCATTAATAGGTAGCACCTCTACGTACACAAAACGTAAACGTGAATTATGTAGTCATGTCCAGGAATATTTCTGATGGATAACATCAAACAAACTCTGGTAACATTCTAGATATAGTAGATATCTACTAGTGACAGTAGTGACGGAGTCGGTCAGAATGTCTCATGGCAATGTTGGTAATGCTGATTGTGATGTTAACTTCAATTATGTTATTGTAACATCGGAGTAAACTGGAATAAACGAAGCAGATTATTTTGTGATAAATTAATCGAAAGTTGAAAAATTTACATAGCAAGATGGTTTTACTGCAGCATATGAGAAATGTATTAAAATTGTCCTTACAAGTAGTTGTAGTCAACTAAGTGACGATTTTTCTAAGATAACCTATCTTTAAGTTTTTCATCAGCACAAATATCTAATTTTTTTTGTTAAAAATGAAATTTTTACAAAGATATATATGATGCTAATAATTTTACTTCTATTGGTCCTCAGATATTACCGGTCGTGCAACAGACACTTATGCAAAGGTATTTTCATACTAGTACAATAGTCAATAAAGTGCAATCCGGACGCTACAAAATCACAATCAATAGAGACAAACCATTAACATATGAAATGGCAAATCCACCTCATTACATCGCTCATAGAAAATCTTGGAACTCTTGGAATACCTGTATGTTTTTTTTTTTTTAGTGAAAAATATGTTTTTATTTCTTGCAATTTTATAGCAAGTACATTAATTTTTTCAGCAAATATAAAGGATGGTAATAGACCATCTGAAACAGCTGTAGAAGAAATGTTTATCCGACAGTTTATGTGGGGAACATGGCCTAATTTATTTGCAAGTGAAATTATTATTAAGCGACAACATAACATTATTAGAATAGCTGGAATCATCACTCGTACTATAGCACCTTACAAGATATATTTTTTAACTGGCTATACCGAGGAACTCCTGAGTTACTGGCTTCAATGTCCCATTAAATTGG